AGCTCCCTCCTAACCTCAACTATAGGGTCATTTTGGCATGACAACTTCTAGGATCGAGTCTCCCTTAGATCTTGCGTTGCGTCCTTCTCCTCTCCCTTTTAACATAAATAAAAATAATTAATAAATACGATGTGCATAGTGTGTCACGAGCCTTAAACACATGGGAAAAGATGAGCGGATGCATTTCTAACTTCATCATAGGATACTTTGCGCGTGGGACGTTTGGATCGCTAGCACGAAGTATTCGATCATATGCCATAGACTTTAGTGAAATGTGCATCTCGAACAGAGTCAATCCACTTCTGTTAAAATCCTTGAACAAATACCAATCATTTTGTCCTTTGGGATTTTCCTTCGAACCTTTTCAAAAAGGGCATGCTACTCCATTCTACCGCAAACAGGCATCGACCCTAACTGCTGGAACGTGAGTTTAACATCGTTCATAAAAGATATCAACCAATATGTGATAGGTCGAACTACGAGCGCTCTGACTTCTTCATTCTCGTCCGAATGAAGATACGTAGGCATAAGAGGGCGAAGTCTTAGCGAGCACAATCCTCCATTCACCCGTAATCCTCCAAATTATGTTAACTCTGACTTTCCCATTGCACGAGGGAATACTTAGGCATAGGATTGGGAGATCCTATCGAGTCTCCTTTGGTTTTTTCTCTTTGTCGTTCGCGTTAGCAAGTAGGCTTTAGATGTACATACCCTTTGATTTAAAACAACAAGCGTGGATCCCGTTGAGTACAACGGACGTGAGGGATGCTAACACCTTCCTCTCGCGTAATCGACTCCCGAATTCAGGATTTAGTTGCAAGACCATGTCTTCTCCCTTTTGAGGTTTCTTCGATCGTTTTTCTTTCCCCGTCGGGATAAATAACGTTCGGTGGCGACTCTATTTTTTCGGTGATTATTTTTCACGTTGCGACATCTGGGTTATCACTTTGAGCTGCATTTACCTAGCATGGGGGTTTTCCATGTAGCTTCCAACAACGGTCGATAGTATGTCCAAGTCGGTTGCAATGATCACACTTGGGACAAGGTTTGGAGTTGGATGACCCTCCTCGAGGGCGATTCTGATTGTTGCCAAGAGATGCAAGGGCAGCAATGTCATCTGGTGTTGGAGCAACAGTAGATGGAGGGGAAACCGGACCAAACGCACGAGGTGTATCCAAGCGCAACAGTTGTTCACTAACTACATCTTAGTTAGGAACAGTAGTACCTGATAAAATCTGGTTACGAACGGAGTCGAGTTCGGATGGTAGTTCTTTAAGTGTCATGACCATGAAAAATTTACTCTGTTGTTCGGCAAGAGTAGTTGCATCTTTTGCGTACGGCATGAGAGTCGCGTAACTTGCTTTTAAGACATTAAGCTTACTCAGATAGGTTTGCATATCCATATTTTCCATCTTCAGTGTGTCGAGTTTGAGGATGACACTATATAGACAATGAACGTCGTTGGAGAAGACTTTATTTTCCTTTTCCCAAACCTCATAGCAAGTGGAGAAGGCTTGATACTGTGCTTGGAGGTTAGGTCCTATGGAGAACCATAACATTGTAAGTAGAGAGGCATCCGTTTTCTTCCATATAGCGAGTTTAGCGACGGCAATATTCGTCAATTGTGTGGTTAGGTGATCTTCATATCCCTGACCATGAAACCACATATCGACAACACGAGCCCATATGTTATAGTTTGATGATCTAGTTAGTTTCTCACATGGGGTAAGCAGAACTTTAGTAAACGAGACAGAATCAACGTCTCTCATGGCTTAATGATACAAAAAACAGAGTGAAATCGGGGTTGTTTGCACTTGAGCACCATTTTCCTTGAGTCAGAAAGTAAAACAGAGGCCGGATCTGGAATGGGTGAGGATAAGCGATTAGACCTACGGAAAAACGGCCAAAATCAGCCGCTGGACATGCTGGGACAGCGGCGGAAAAAAGGGCGACGACTGGATCGGAGTACGGCGAGTTGGATGATGGGGTCGGTTTTTCGAAACGGTGTGCCGAAACAGTAACAGTGACAAAGCGGTTATTAGAGAATTTTAAAAAGTGAGAGGCAAACCGGAGTGATAACACGGTTTTCCAAGAAAAATTTTCTCACCGGAAGATAGTAGGTCAACCGGGTAAAGTACGGCGAAGAAAGAATTTCCTTTTAGTAGGCTCTAGATACCATGTTAAAATACAAGAGGCTAAGAGACATATGAAAAAACCGTGTATTTTGAAAAGCACTACAGAGACATTATTATATATAAATAGATTACAACTAATTACATGATATAGTCGATGTGAGACTATTCTATATACAAATATTCTTAACACTATATATATTTATAAATATCAACAAAACCTAAAATCATAAAATTATGGTCAAAAGCATGTGTTTATTGAGGTGATAGTTTTAGAATATTTTTTAGTTATTTAACCAACTTTTAGAGGCCAAAATTGTATCCAACGTAGCTTGAATGTACTTATTCTCTTGGTTGTTTTCCCAAGT